GCTGTGACGTAATAACTCGAGGGAAGGGGTGGGGGTCAGAGGGCCTAGGTATAAAAGTCACGGCTCGCCACTGATGTTGACAATGTTTTGTGATCATTTTAGCCTCTTCTGCATGTCCAGATCATTAATAGTAACAATCAACTGATTCTTATTATGTATTACACTTTCAAAATAATTGATGCTGACATTGTCAGCCCACTGACATGGTTTGAAATCGATATATTATCCAATTTGTGACCCCCCATAGGACTTAAAAAGCACCATAACTAGATCATGAAAATCCCAAAAATCTCGGGGGGTATCCCCCGAATTCCCCTAGCATGTTTGGACCTCGGTATTTAGGAAATCCTGGATACGGCCCTGGCTGCCACTGAGGGACTTCCGGGTCATTTCACTGTGTTAGGAAGGTTCCTAAGCAGCCTGTCCTCCTAAGCTGCATTTCACTTCTCTTATTTTTTATTTCCTCGCTCCTCGCTCCTCGGTATCACCGGAAGTTGATTTGTCTGCGCCATCTTGAGTAGCGTCCCAATGGCCTTATTTTTGCCGGAGGAGCGAGGAGCGATAATGGAGGAGCTATAACCGAGGAACCACCAGACCATCCTCCGATGAAATCCTCAGACACTTGCCCCGCCCCCTTACTGTGTATCGCTCACTGATTGGACGATGCAGTGCATGCACTGATCTGATGCTTCTTGACATGAGAGCAGTTTCCCAGCGGAGTGAAGAAAACACATGAACCTCACGAGAGTCACTCCTCAGTTTATACTGTGTTTTGTTTCAATTCATGTATCATTTAGATACAAATATGTGATATATCTGAACAACAGTCAAAAATCATTTTATTCATTTTTTGGAAACATTTTCATGATCGCTTTTTTCGTTTTACATTACATTACATTTAGATGACGCTTTTATCCAAAGCGACTTACAATAAGTGCGTTCGACCAACAAAATACAAACTTGAGGAAAACAGAATCATATAAGTACATCAGGCTTCATAGAGCAAAAACATTTCAAGTGCAGTTTTACATTTTCATTTATTGTCATTTCCATTCAGTCAGTCATTAAGTGCTATTAAAATGTTAATGTGCTACATATCCACACAAAAAAACTGTGCAATCCAATGAATGTTAATCTAAGTGGGTTTTGATAGATAACATTTCTCTTTTTCTTCTCTCAATTATTTTATTTCTATTGTGCACTCTAATCAATATTAATCAAACTATTGTTCGTTTATACATTTTAAGAATGGCGTTTATCTTTTTTGAGAATGAGTTCTTATTTGATTTTATTTATTGGGGTCTACAGATGATACAAATGTTTGTGTCAGTAAATGTGTAGGCGGGGTGTGTGTGAAAATAACGGGGACAGAGCTGCTGTCAGACGATCAGCTGTGCGGCATCATCACAAACGGACGTCGCTTCACGTGATGCTCCGGAGGAAAGGACGTCCCATTGCTCTTAAAACTAATTTCCCTAGAGGTTTCTCAATACTCAAATGTCCCCTCCTCGACTCCTCGACTCCCCGGTCCTCCGGTAGTGACCCGGAAATGAATTTCAGCGCGCCATTTTGAAGGACATCTCATTTCGCTAAATGCACACCGAGGACCGAGGATCGAGCGTCGAGGAGGCTCTCTGGAGGAGCTCTAACCGAGGATACACTGATGGTTCCTCCACGGCTCCTCCGCGGATACCTTTCCGGGAACGGTCGAGGCGTGACGCACGGCCGGACTTATCTCAGCCAATGACAGCTCTGCATGCATCCCCTGGATATTATTTTAGAAACTGCTCTCATCGCAACGCGATGTTTCCAGAGAGAACAGCTGTGAGGTCCGTGCAGAAAGCAGAGCAGTGTGTATAATATATATCACTCAGTATAACAGGCCTACTCTCTTTATTTGCTTTAGTTTAGTAGATATCTACAAACAAAGAGTCCATATTTTTCTAAGACCATTTAGTGCTTCACATAATAAAATACACAACGGCTGTAGCCTGATTATGCTTTAGGAGCTGTAGGTGTGTGTGGTACAGTGTGAAGGTGTGTGTGTGGTACAGTGTGGAGGTGCGTGTTGTAGGCTACAGTAGGTGTGTGTGTGGTCCAGTGTGTAGGTGTGTGTGTGTGTGTGTGTGTGTGTGGTACAGTGTGTAGGTGTGTGTGTGGTACAGTGTGTAGGTGTGTGTGTGTGTGTGTGGTACAGTGTGTAGGTGTGTGTGTGTGTGTGTGTGTGTGTGGTACAGTGTGTAGGTGTGTGTGTTGTACAGTGCGTAGATGCGGCGGACAGACGGGTCTCAGTTGGTTTGGTGTCCTCTGCTTACTATACTTGTACAACTTTTGGCCCGTAATTTCAATTCCTCATTGTAGCGACCAGAGAGGGGAGGGGGGATATATCCAGTCTCTGATTGTGTTACGTTATTATGAGAGTGCTCTCATACTTGTTTGATTCTGAAATTGTATATATTTATATAAATATATGTGTGTATATGTCCGCATCTGTAGCCTGTTATTGTCTCATTATACCGCACTGTGAATGAATTAAAAGTAAATATATAAGTCGTCATGAACACATCTGTCCATCAGACAGAAGAGGTTTCTCAATACTCAAATTTCCCCTCCTCGACTCCTCGACTCCTCGGTCCTCCGGTAGTGACCCGGAAATGAATTTCAGCGCGCCATGTTGAAGGACATCTAATTTCTCTAAATGCACTTCGAGGACCGAGGATCGAGCATCGAGGAGGCTCTCTAGAGGAGCTCTAACCGAGGAGACACTGATGCATCCTCCACGGCTCCTCCGCGGATGCATTTCCGGGAACAGTGGAGGCGTTACGCACGGCCGGACTTATCTCAGCCAATGACAGCTCTGCATGCATCCCTTGGATATTATTTTAGTAACTGCTTTCATTGCAACGTGATGTTTACAGTGAAAACAGCTGTGAGGTCCGTGCAGAAAGCAGAGCAGTGTGTACAATATATATCACTCAGTATAACAGTCCTACTCTCTTTATTTGCTTTAGTTTAGTAGATAACTACAAACAAAGAGTCCATCTTTTTCTAAGACCATTTAGTGCTTCACATAATAAAATACACAATGGCTGTAGCCTGATTATGCTTTAGGAGCAGTAGGTGTGTGTGGTACAGTGTGTAGGTGTGTGTGTGGTACAGTGTGTAGGTGTGTGTGTGGTACAGTGTGTAGGTGTGTGTTGTACAGTGCGTAGATGCGGCGGACAGACGGGTCTCAGTTGGTTTGGTGTCCTCTTACTTTAATACTTGTACAACTTTTGGCCCGTCAATTCAATTCCCCATTTCAGCGACCAAAGAGAGGGGTGGGGGGATATATCCAGTCTCTGAATGTGTTACATTATTATGAGAGTGCTCTCATACTTGTTTGATTCTGAAATTGTATATATTTATATACATATATGTGTGTGTGTGTATATGTCTGCATCTGTAGCCTGTTATTGTCGCATTATACCGCACTGTGAATGAATTAAAAGTAAATATATAAGTCATCATGAACACATCTGTCCATCAGACAGAGGACTGCTGTGCCTCCTGTCATCATTAATGGACGTCTCTTTAAAATGACCGCTCAGAGGAGTTCTCATTTCTCTAACCGCCTGCTGCTTCCCCTCCTCAGTCCTCCGCTCGCATCTCCTGTGGGCGGCACCAAGTCTCGTGGATAGGAGTCGAGGAAAGGAGTCGAGGAGGGGAAATTTGAGTATTGAGAAACCTCTCCTGCTTCTAGTTGTTTCCTTGCGTCTCTCCATGCTTCCCTGAGGGACTAGTCACAGGGAAACAACGCAAGTGAGGGACGCAAGGAATCCATTTAACCGAAGTGAAACGCAGCCCTACAAAAAACGAACAAATAGGTCGATTGTTTAAGCAGCTTAGATTACGACCCATAGCCACGTTTTAAAGTGTAGCACCTCTAGTGGTCGTGTAAGAAACAACATGCTCCCGTTTATTCGTTTATTCACAAATAACCCATTCTGGAAAGTCCTAAATTGTGCAATAGTTTGGCCATTAAAATGCTTTTTGATTAGATTTCTAGCGAGAAGTGTATATTGTACTTTTAGAATCCACGTCCAGTGGATGTGTAGGATCTATAGTTTGACAAAAAATACAAATCTAACATGTTGACATCCTATTTAATACTTTGTACTTTGTCAATGAAAGTATGATAATTATGGATGGATGAAAGGATTTGAAATTGACCTGCACCATTTCCATAAGCCCTATACGAAGTATGTTTGGTGTGTTGGATAATCGAAAAATCTTGCCTTTTAAATTCTACTGTTACATTATAACATTTCTAAGCAAATCATTTTCTGAAAATGTCTAATGGTTTGTATAGTACTTCTTCGAATCATAAATTGTATGCACACTTTCTTAAGGCCAAAGTAATACATTGGAGTAAGACATTTCAAACATGTATTTGCAATATAATGTATATTTGTTAATAATGAAGCAATATCGGACAGTTTGCAAAGTGTTTCTAAACACATTTCCTTCCATAGAAAAGGAGATGTTAAGATACATAGATAGGTATAGATAGATAGGTATAGATAGGTAGGTAGGTAGGTAGGTAGGTAGGTAGGTAGGTAGGTAGGTAGGTAGGTAGGTAGGTAGGTAGGTAGGTAGGTAGGTAGGTAGGTAGGTAGGTAGGTAGGTAGGTAGATGGATAAATATCACTAGAGTATCTAAATAACACACAATATACTGACAATATTGAATAATTGAATACTACCACTATATCACTACAACATCTCACTATCAAACTACATGACAATGTATGTGTTTAGCTGATTTCCATGTCAATACCGCCCACACACTCAGAGACATCCTAAAGGGAGTGAGTGTGCATATTAGTAAGCCACTATAAACTCATAAATCATTGTGACTGCGGACACGCCCCCTGCTCTGCTATTGGCTGCTGCGCCCTTCACGTGGGTTACGTCCCCTCTCGGTAATTTAAATAGCCCCTTGCGCAATTTGATGAATAGTGTCACTGTCGGGAGCGTTGGAGACGGATGAAGGGGTGTTGATAGATGGACAGCAGGACAGAAGGATATAAGACAGGAAGAGAAGCTGCGTCATGTCTACTCACAGTTACACTCACTGAGAGTTAGCGCAACTATCCCCGTCTCTGTTCCCGGGCTTCGTGTCGTGTCGCTTCGCCTTTTTCTGCAAAGTTATGGAGAGCAGAACACATCAGGTCTGAGTGTTCCAGCTGTCCGCGTGCCGACGTTCTTCTGAACAGTCCTTCAGTTTCCCAGAGTAGCTCCGGAGGAACGTTTTGTCTCAGGTAACATATCTCCTGTTTCCCTCCTCTCTGATTATTTTCACTCTGAGCAGTGGTCGGCGAAGTATTCATTCTTTACCTAAGTAAAAGTACAAATACTATGGTCTTTACATACTTCATATCAAGTAACAGTCCAGATCTTAAAAATATTCCTGAAGTACAGAAGTATTATCAGCTAAATGTACTTCAAGTATCAAAAGTAAAAGTTTTCAGAATGCATTATGGTGGTTTTGACAATACTATATTATTCTAGAATATTATATTAGGCCTACCCATTTTTGATAACAACAAATACACGAAGGAGGACGTTCAATTTCGGGCAAATGTACGTATGGCAGCAATATAGTACTGCATCTTATCATACATGTGTTTTTATAAGTAAAGAAGTAACTATGAGTGTTAAATACCTAAAGTGGAGTAAAAAGTACAATATTTGCCTCCAAAATGTGGTAGAGAATATGTAGAATAAAATACAAGTAAAGTAAAGTTTGTCAAAAGTGTACTTAAGTACAGTACTTGAGTTAATGTACTATGTTACATTGCACCACTGACAGTAAGATAGCATCTCCTGTGCAAACCGTTAAATAAAGTAAGTACTAGTAAATAGAGTCAAGTACTTTTTAAAATCCTTTTAGTAATCAATTACTCATTACTGGCGCTCTTCCAAAAGTCCCATTTGGTCCCCTTCCCCCTTACATCACAATACACCGTGGACACATTGAAGTAAACACGGGGCTTATTCTCATCAGGAATAATATGACTTGTGTTATTTTGACATTACAGAGATATAGATTATACGATTGTAATGTATTTATTTATGTGTGTTATTTATGGAGAACTGTGTCTATTCCAGCTCTCAGTTCCTGCTATTGCAAAGTAAATATCTAATAATGGAAACAAAAATAAATATGGTTAAACGGATAGACTTTTATTTCACAAGAAATCAGCATTTGTGTATTTATGTCTCAGTTTCCTAAACTGTCTCGTGTGTGTGTGTGTAGCCTTGGAGGGCCCCCATCATCATGGTGAACAGCCAAGCGTCAGGCGTGCCGTCGGCCCCCAGGTCGTGTGCAGGGTGCGGGGGAAAGATCGCCGACCGCTTCCTGCTCTTCTCCATGGAGCGCTACTGGCACACTCGCTGCCTCAAGTGCTCTTGCTGCCAGGCCCAGCTGGGAGACATCGGCACCTCCTGCTACAGCAAAGGGGGCATGATTCTGTGTCGGAGTGACTACATCAGGTGAGAGGAGGAAGAGGTGGCAGAGGAGGGGGCCAATGCTTTGAAATGTTTAAAGCTGTGCAGACTGAGTAATCTGTGTGTGTGTGTGTGTGTTTCAGACTGTTTGGGCACAGCGGGGTGTGCAGCGCCTGCGGACAGTCGATCCCCGCCAACGAGATGGTGATGAGGGCACAGGGAAACGCTTACCACCTGAAGGTAAGTCTGCAGCTCTCCCATCACCAGCCACCGTCTCCCGCTGCTAGTTTGACAGACACATCTGGGATTTGTAAGGAGTGACGGGGAGGAGGGAGGAGGGGGGGTGAGCACCTACTCTTACCTCATGTAGTCACTTTTAAACTTTGATGAGAGATCATCTCTAAAGGTGCAGATTAGACTCTTTGAATCTTTCATATTTAGATTCATATCAAGTTTACAGAGTTTTGATGACCATATTTAATTGTTCAATGTGCTTGAGTGGATTTGATCCGTCTCTGACCCTCTGTGTGTTCCTGTAGTGTTTCAGCTGTGCCACCTGTAGGACCAGACTAATGCCTGGCGATCGCTTCCATTACATCAACGGTACAATCTTCTGTGAACACGACAGACCTGGCGCCGTGTTGCTCAACAGCCACCTGCTCCCCCTCCAGAGCAGCTCTGTGCTGACAGACCAGAAGGTGAGCCACTGCAGAGCCATCTGTACCCCACAGCACCCCCCCACGTGAACATCACATGGTGGAGTGTGGATCATAGAATGTCTGGCTTCTCCTGGGGTAAAAGGCTGCCACAGCAGAATGATGCAGTACATACAGAAATACAAAGACTACATCAGAGATATTACTCTGAAACAATCTATTGTCATTTTACAATAATTTCCACCTTAACGAGCTGCTATACCGTTATGATACCTATATGTTAATGCTTTGGTTCTTAGTCCAACTTAATAACATAACAGTTAAGAGCACTGTGTTCTGCTGCATTATGAGCACACTCACATCACACCTTACATTTGCAACAATATGACTCGCATTATATGTCATATTGTTTTTGGATGAATAAGTTAATCAAATAGGTATTTAACACTATTTGATTTAATTAGCTGAAATCATTACCTCTATACACTAACAGGAAAACTAAAAGTCCTTTGATAGGCGTATCATGCACATCTCATTCTTAATAACATAGGGGAAAGTCCATGTATTTGGACTTGAACCACTTGTTGTATCCTGACTCTTTCCCTTCTCTGCAGGTATGCTGAGGTGCCTGCTTCTCCATGTTGTTGTGATTTCTCCTCACGGCCCCCCTCTTCCCCAGGAGGGAGGACACCGTTGCTTACAAGATCCCGGTCCGTCACCACATCGGAAACTACATCACATTTATGTCGTGTTCAATGTTGTCTGTGCATCATGCAAAGACTGTGTGATTTGCACTGGCAAAAGGCTTCTTTGGGACTGAAAGAAAGCCAAAGGAAAGCGATAAGGATGAAAGCCTGCGCCAACTGGAAGAGGGAATAAGAGACGCTTGAATGAACATTCGATGGACTGCTGTAAAATGACTGTCAAAGCTTTGCTTATGCCATGTGGCAAATATTTCCCCTGAGCGTCAGTGTTTCAAATGAACTTGATCTTTCTCTTGTATAAATTAATCTGAGATCTCACACTCTGCGGATTGAATATAATATGTATGGGTGTTAGGTCAAAATGTTCAGTCATAAAAAACCTTGTAATAAGATTTTAAACTATTTCAGAGGTAAGATTCAAACTTTAAAAAAATCTAATGTTGCTGTATGATGAACAAACTGAATGAACCAGTGATGGGTTTTTTTCTTTATCAGATGTCTGTTCAATGTGGAAAAACAATTGTGCCGTTTTAAACAAAAATCCTATTAAAGCGGTTTTTCTGTAACATGTCAAAAACAAGCTGAGGTCATTTTGAAGCCCCTGAGCGGCATTACAGAGACATCGTATTGCATGGTACGTAACACGCTGCAAGTGACTGTCTCTCACTCTCCTTAGCCCTGTATGGTGAAAACATGCCTGATTACCCTGAGGAATGGAATTAGGGGGCTTGAGCTCTGACCATTTACAGAAGCAATTAAACATGAGCCCTGTATCTGCTGCTGGAGCTCCTGGGAGGCTGAACTCGGGGCACAGCCCGCGGCTGACTGGCTGCCTCTAATAAGGCCTAATCTGAAAGCAGGCTAATTAAAGGGGAGTGGCCCCTCTACATTCAGGGCATTTGAAACAATCTGATGTATTTATTGTTTACCATGTTCTAATTAAAGCTCCAACACATGCTGGTTGTTTTCCATCGAGGCTTTGTTCTCCACCATTCTCTGCATGGCTCCTGATTTTCAGGAGATTCATCGAATTCACTCTCACTCCGTGTGGCTTTTTAATGCGATGTAAAAACTTTAGTCTCAGCATACCTTTCGGAGGTTGGGAGTTAATCTTATTGTGGTAGCGGCGGTGGGAAGCTGAAGATATGATCTGCTCTACTTTCACACCTTTCCCCGGAGCATGGCAGGCATCAAACTCACACCTTAATGCGCTTAGCTATTTCAAACGTCCCACTTGTCATGGTAGGTGCTGATACTGCATCAATTATTTATTCCACGTCTGATCAAGAAGCGTCACGCAAATTCATTAACGTATGCAAATGATCACAATTACAATTATCTTTCTATCGTGATGGCGAAGAAATAAAACCTCGGCACATTCCCGAATCCCACTGCACCACAAGTTACACTTTGCATTCAAACTAATCAAGTCTCATCTGCCTTTTCTTAATTAGCCGGAACGTTTTCAGATGCCAATTAGCAGGTCTCATGAAAAGACTCTTTGCCATGAGGCGTTGTCTTTTTATCAGAGCTACTGCAGGTGTTTGCCTCACCATGTAGCCTGTGTCATAGGAAAGTGTTTATTCCTACTAATGAATCATATTAACACATGCAGATGAGTGTAATTGCCCAGGCTTCTCCACCTCACACGGTGTGAAGACACAAGATGATGCCAGGATATTTTTCACATGCTCAGGATGAAGAGGAAAAGTACCGCTGAAGCCTCCTTCATGCCCAGACACTCCTGTGATATAGATCCAAGATGGTTGCCCGCCTTTAGCCCAGTTCCCTCTCTCATCCTGATCCACTGCTTCTTGGAACGACTCTCAGAGTGTTTGGAACGGGACTGCTTTGTGTCCAACTGAAGTTTGAACAGCAGAATGTGGTCAATATCTGGGGTAAAAATAAATCAAAATAGAATGATTGAGCTTTAAGATTACATATTCTGCTCATATTCAGGTTTGTTTTTTACTGTGCCATGTCTCCATGCATTAATGTTCAAAATGCTTGTGGGAGAGAAACTCCCTCTTTATAACGCTGGATTCATAGTTCACATTTGAATGGGAGCCCTCTCCTAACCGTTAGCTGCCAACACAAACTTCAATATTTACGTAACCATGGGCAAGAATCATTTGTATATGTTATATACCACACTTCCTTCTAAAGTGCTACATTTATTTTATATTATAAACACTGCTGATACTTACTCCCTACTTGAATGTGGACTTACTGAAATTGTAATATTTTTTTAAATATTATGTGCATGCCTTTTTATAGAATAGTGTTCTTCCTCTTTATCTCTACTTAGCCGTAACAGTGTACATTTCCCCTTCGTGGGAGGAATAAAGTTATTCTGATTCTGAAAAAAACACAGAATTCAAAAGCATTGGCTTGTAACAGTTATAAGCAATATCACTGTTTCTACTTCTTTATCATTTTGTGTTGGTAAATGATCGCCAAATGATTTGAAGGGATACAATCAGTGACATTTCTCCAGGAGTGATGCCAAGTGACATGTGATTCCAGTCTGAGGTTGCAGTGTTACATTTCTAATTGAAACCATACACTTTTAAAGACGAAAAGAAAAGTATTCATCAAGAAATGAATGTTTCGGTGAATCCAGACTTAAAGGGTCAGTTTTGCCAAATTGTCAAAAGACTCAGGTTAACATTTTTGAAATGGCGGCACGTGAGAAACCCTTCCATGTTGTACGCTGTGTACACTTTGCACAAATTGCACCCTAACAGAGCATTAGCGCTATTATTTGAGTTTGATTGTTGGCTGGCAAAATATAACCTGTTCTGAATGATCGATTCAAAATGATAATAACTGTATTCCGGTTTTGTATGCAACCACAACTGCTGTGGTTTTGGTTTGGTGGTCCCTCCCCTTCTGCCATGATGAATGCTGATGGAGGCCATTGAGGGTGGGAAGTATCCAGCTTTTCACACACATTTGACCTACAGTATGAGTATATGTACTATAGTGATTTTGCCATTGTTGTGTGTGCATGAATTGACTATCTCAAAATAGTGAGTGTACGCAAACTGAGATGCAGCACCCCAGTGAAAGCTGTTTACACTGAGCTCTGTGGAATATCCAGACATCCTGTTGCTTTCTTTTTGGTTGGTTGGTTTTTGCTCCGATCCTCACTGCTCAGCCCGCACTCCGGTGTCCCAGGTTCCCGTGGGGCTTCGCTCGGCAGAGCACGTGTTCATCCGGCACGATGCTCACATGGGTTCCCTGCAGCCCCCTTACGACGAGCCTTTCAGAGTCTTGGAGCACGGGGGCAAGCACTTGGTGGTCGACATGGGTGGCAGGGCCGAGCACGTCTCGGTGGACCGGGTGAAGGCTGCTCACCTGGACTTGGACCAGCTGGTGGTGCTGGCAAGATCTCCGCGACGGGGCCGCCCCCTGGCCTTGACCCCTGTCACCGACCTGGGGCCTACGGTTCCGGTCCCACCGCTCCCAGCAACCACCCCTGTAGGGGTCGCCTCCCCGGCTCCCGTTCTCCGGAGTCGTGGTGGTCGTTCCTCGCCATCGCACGGACTTTGTGTATGGGTGAATTCTGGGGGGGCTTCCAGGGGCGCTGCCAGGGATTTTGGGCCCCATGAAAATATATCACATTGGGCCCCACCACCAGGCCCAGGCCACGCCAACCAAGCACAATTGCTGTAACCACACCTCCAGAACCCAACCCACTCATTTATGCTTTAAATAACTCTACCTGTACAGGCTTGCATCTATCTTGTAGTCCAATACTAACTGCACAATATTTACTGACACTGAGCTGTGAACATATAACACTGTGCAGACGTGCAACATTCTGCTGCAGTAGAATTCACTATTTGATATAAGACTAACATTCCTGACAATAGATCTCAATAGTCATCTTTTATGGTGTACATGCCTTTTTAATAACATTTTTGAATGGAACATTCATAAATCAAAATAAATATAACTTAAATATAAATGACCTCTTAAATTAAAATAAAGTGAACATTAACACCAATATTATCATTTATAAAATAGTTATTACGAGGCCTTGCTCAGCCTTACTCACCAAGAGCCCAGCGCCTAGCCTTCTTACAGGCAAAGTCACTGATCAAGTCCTTGAAGTCCAGCTTTCTAGCGAACTGGCTTTCAATGGACAGCATGGCAAGACGGCAAAGGCTTATGGGGAGACAGGGCTGGGACCGGGACAGGGCTGCTGAGCCTAAATATGGATCTGTTGGTCCTGGTACGAGGGGGAGGGGGCAACTGATTTAGTATCAATAGCTACTAAAAACGTACCTGCATTTATTAAATGTCAGCTAAAAGAGGAGTGAAATTAAAAACCTCTGCATTTTCTGTGAAGATATTAACAGTACTTAATATCAGCAAAACATTACAATTATTATTTACAATGGGCTAAGCTTAGCTAACAGACTAATTTCCACCACTCATGGACCACACCCACCTTTTCTTTTGAAAAACTGGGAGACATACTGTCGCCCTTTAGTCAGGCGCGCCGGATTCATTTTAGAAGTGGGGGGGGCAAAAAAGTGCTTGTGTATGGCCCAATCCCAAACCACGCCCTACACCCTACCCCTACACACTCCCCCTCCGTGACGGAGTGAACTCCGTGGAGGACGGCCTCCCCTCTCTCCTGCAGAAACAGGAAGTGCCGTAACTGTATGTAACAACGGTTTCAATTCAGCATTTCTTTGACAACAAATGTAAATGAATAACTCAAATAAAACTCCAAACATCTTTAATTGTGTTAGCCTACTTTTTTGTAAAGCTCTTTTAGTTTTAAACCTGATGTCTTAGTTTTTGCAACAGTCTGTAAATATACACAACTTTATAATAAAATGCACACATTTACCTTTTTCTAGACTAAACACAGGTATGATCCTAAGTTTTTGTACTCCAAATATTAAGCAAAATATGTCACATTAGCCTATATAATGAAGAGTCATCATTTTGAGAAAAAGGCATTCAAATGATCCTCTTCTCTGGATCAATCTGATTGACTATTAGCGGAGCAAATGATCAAAATACTACGCAGGGAAGATATTTTCGTTTGGATTACTGGTCTGGGGGAAACTCGCGAGTGTGTGTGTGTGTGTGTGTGTGTTTGTGTATTTTGTGTACACCGGCTGTTGTTATGCCTGCTGTGACGTCAAGTTACTCCGTTCTCCGCTTGTAATTATGCCGAAGCTTCAAAGCTGTATTTATCATCTGAATTTGCCGAAACAAGTTTAATATTCTGAAAGCCAAGACTTTGTTTATTTGAAATCAGATGAAAACAAACTGTAACGGACCCTGCCGTGTTATCTATGATTACTATACTCTTACATTCATAATTTCAGTGGGAGGGAGGGGGGGCGGCGCTGAGGAACAGCAGAGTGGCGAGGGAGAGCTGTCATCTTCCCTTTACAAGCTACAAAAAATGCCTGTAGCTAATGAGATTGAATATAACAATACAAAATAACAAAATATAGGCTAGCCTACACAGCTAGATCAGATGGCGTTCTTTTTAGATGCGACTTTAGAGTAGAGGGGAATTATTGAAACGGGATTTGTACAGTGTTCCGCGCCTACGTGTGTGTTTGTATATTTTTGCGTTTGTTTCCCGGGGAAAACACTCACGAGAAACACCGGCTGTTGTTATGCCTGCAGTGACGTAAAGTTACTCCGTTCTCCGCTTGTAATTATGCCGAAGCTTCAAAGCTGTATTTATCATCTGAATTTGACGAAACAAGTTTAATATTCTGAAAGCCAAGACTTTGTTTATTTGAAATCAGATAAAACAAACTGTAACGGACCCTGCGGTGTAACTATGATTACTATGCCTTACATTCATAATTTCAGCGGAGGGAGGGGAAGCGGCACTGTGGAAGAGCAGAGTGGCGAGTGAGAGGCGAGCTGTCATCTTCCCTTTACAAGCTTCAAAAATGCCTGTAGCTAATGAGAT